TGGGGTTAAAAATAGGTTTTTTTTTTTTTCAAAATAACGGAAAATTATCTATGGTTTGATGTTTAGTATTGTGAAAATTTAAAAGTTTTCATAAAGTGGGAAAATGCTGTTTTCAGCCCAACTTTCAAAAATTGAGTTTTCATCAAATCTTAAAGTTTTTAGGTCCTAAGAATGCCTTTTAACCATTTTCAGAGCGATGTATGTTAGTTTGTGTATGTGTGTGTTGAAAAAATTTTTCAAAACCATTTTTTTAGAATATTCTCAAACTACTCTGCCAATATATTCCAAAATATAATTAGCTCTTCTTTTCAGATAGCAACGTTCATCGTCGTAAACTGCATCAATATCGATTGATTTGTTCTAGAGATATCGTAATACCATTTGTTTTATAAGATTATTTTTAATTGTCGTCTATGTGTAGATAAAATTTTGTAAGCTAAACTAGAACCACTTCCTTACATTCCATTAGACTCAAATTTGACGTATATTCGATGACAATGCAATAGCATGGTATCGTGAAGCTGGTGTAACGATGGAGTTGGCAAATGGCCACAGTAATCCAAAGTTAAACAAGGTAAACTCATCGAGTGTGGGCTCATATGTTTTGTCTTAGCAAACCCTCTAGTGCTATATGACATACAAGGTCTGACGATGGAGAAGGTAAGTGATCAGTCCGTTTGGGCTCGTTTTATTAGTCTTGGCAAGCATTTTGGTGCTACATTCAGATGATCCAGGACTTGAAGATGAAGCTGGAGGGTAGCCTAAGGAACTTTGTAATAAAACTACGCAACTGTATCGAGTTTGGGGTCTATTGTTTTGTCTCGGTAAACACTCTGGTTCTTTATGATATTTAGGTTCTGAAGATGAAGATGAAGAGTAAACATAGGAACATTTAAATTACACTAGATTGACCCATAGTGTTTGGGGTCGTTTGATTTGGCTTGGCAACTACTATAGACTTTCCAGTGTCTGCAACACGAAAATGCAACTCAAAGGTAGTCAAATTAAGTATTAAACTTTGAAACCCTATAGAGTTTGGGTTCCTTTGTAATTGCTGATATAGGTGAGAAAGGCGTCGTTAGCATTGGTCTGCCACAGGAGGACGAAAATTCCAAAATAAAACCTGAACTGCAATTTCGGTCAGGCATGAGCAAGGTCCAATCAGAAGTAAGCGATGATATTTAATGCAGCCAAGAGAAGATGATACCGTGCTGATGTACTGAATTGCAATAATTGCGACAATGTATTGTCGAAAAATATATGGTCTCGCACGAACCACCTTAGGCTATCAGGGTGCACCCTGTTGTAATTTAGCCCTTGCCCTTCTATCCGGATCACTGGAGTGTTGACTGTTTCATTATCCGATACCCGTGGGAACTCCGTAGGAAAAAAACATCTACAGAAAGAAAAAGAAGACTAGACAAAGCCAAGAACCAACATAAAGAAAAACTTTCTATAGAAAATGCTGAAACAAAAGACACGAGTTTATGAAACAATACATCAGGCATTATTACAAATACACAGATAAGATAAAACTAAAAAGTTGAATAATAACGAAAAAAAAAACCTTTTTAAAAGCAGGTATTCGTTCAAAAGTTCAACTGTATTAAACAAAAATAATTATTTTATGTAAGGGTTGTATATGATTGTTATTTATATAGATTAATCTAATAAAGTTGATCTAAATCCTACATAAAAGTATCTATTTATATAGGCACGATATTAGGATAATGATGGAAGAAATAAATGTATATATATAATTGTACTTAATATTTTATTATATCAAATAATTTCAAAAGCTTGTAGCTTGTAAATGGAATACAGAAAAAGAGGAATTAAAATTTAATAAACATCTTGCGCTATTGTGCTGTTTATAATACAGAATTATTTGGTTATAAATTGTAAACCGTATACAATATTATTAGTGTTGTGAAAGTAGGCAGAATTTGTCAAGTTTGTAGATTCAGTATTTATTAGGAAATTAATCATATCCTACTTGAACGGTGTGATATAACACGGACTACACAATTTCATCCATCTTGAATGATTCATTGAAATTACAATTCGCAATTTATGTTCAGCTGATTCTATACTACTATTACTGATAGTAATTTATCAAAGTAGGCAATGTCGATGGGCTAAAGCAGGCTAATAAATATTTCATTAGGTGGTATTAGCGTTTGAGATGGAATTAGATTGTTTGAATTTAGTTTGTTTTAGTCGATTCATACGTACACCATATCTTACTAAGATTCTATGACATCAAGTGTGCCATTAAATTTTATACATTTAAAAGTCCTTACGTGTATAGACTGCCGAAGTGTTATCATCTGGTACAAGAGAATATTTAACAATATGGAACGATGTTTTAATGAATGATAACATATTGTTGTTTAGGTCAAAACAAAATTTTTATTGTCATTTGGTACAGAACAATATCATCATGCGGAACAATACAATGGTATTCGTGCTATTCATACAATGTAGAAGGTCAAAGTAAAAAATATCCAGTTGTATTCGGCGAAGCGCACATGCTGCGTACTTTTCACTCCAAAGTTGTATATTGGATTTTACATTGTACATTCAATTGTTCGAATACAATATAGTTAAATGTAATATTGTGTTTGATACTTGAATGTATATATTGATTAACTAACACAATATACATATAATAAATTGATATCAAAATATATATTTCGATATGTATAGTATGTGTTACATATTTCTATTTTTTAGTGAAGAATATTAATACTAAATTCCAAGTAAATTTCACAGTTGCTAGTCAATTATCAAAGATGATAAATGAATAAAAATAAATGGAAAATAAATAACAACAAATAAAATAATAATAAAATAAACAGTGCAGTAGTGGCTGAGAGAGCATGCCTTCAAAGCAGAAAGTGACAATTTCGGATGCCACTTGATCTGTATTTCCATGAATTGCGATCGCACTGGTGACAATGACCGTCTGTTTGTGCTACTGGACATCCACTGGAAATAGGCCTTTACCCTGAATTTCCAGTACAAACGATCTTTGGCCATCTGTTAGCAATGGTGGCCCACGACCTTTTCTGATTGCTAATCCACCTAGTCGGAGGCTATCCCACGCTGTGTCCGTGGCCACGGTCAGTCTGTGGTGGACATTCGAGAACTTTACTTCATCAACGGTCGCCATTACTACCAGCAATGTGACCTGCCCCTTGTCAATTCAACTTCCTGACTTTGTGAGCTATGTCGGTGACTTTGATTCTTGTGCGAATTCTTTCGTTTCATATTTTATCTTGAAGATAAACCCTGTGCACAGTTCACGCTAAAGCACGTTGCCTAACTTTTAGTTAGTTTATAAGACTAACAGAAAGGTATCAGGTCTGGAATTCGTATCGTTACATCGCTACCGTATTTAACAATTTCGTTAACAATCGTAACTTGCATTGGACCAGAGTGGCGAATTTAAATCTAAATCCCTCAATCGTAAGTAAAAAATAGTGGGATGGTAGAAATTAGTAGAGGGGTCATAAAAAACTGACCCATCAAAATAAAATTAAATGAAAAGTCAACGCTGAGGACAGGATTCGAACCTGCGCGGGTATGACCCATTGGATTTCAAGTCCAACTCCTTAACCACACGGACACCTCAGCTCCGTCCAACATTATGAAAATGAAATAGCAATATCTACGCAGCTGCGTACATAAACATTTCATCGCTTTGAATTACTTTTTTATTTCAAATTTTGAAAAGTATTTATTTTATTTTCATAAATAACTGAGAATATAAATACAACTCAGAATCTTTAGAATTCTAAATCATCATCCTCAAGAGTTTCACACTGAAATATTGAGGGCAATAATCGAACCTGCAAACACTCTTGACCTCTTTGTTACTGAGCAGTCGTTTTATCAAATGAATCTATTATAATACAATTTGATACAAAACAGGATAAATTATTTTTATCGTTCTTCGCATATGATCAAAAACAAGTCTTTTACAGCGTTTACAGGTGATTTTTAACATGTGTTGTAAACTGCGCAAACGCACGCGACAACAACATCGATATGTCATCGTTTCGCGCAGGTTTTTTACCACTTTTGTTTGGCGTTGTAAAATAATCAGTTTTCGGAATCGCAATCCCAAGATAATATTTAGTAGTACATAAACTAGAATAATATGAAAGTATAAATAAAAGCTTCAACAAGATAACCATTTGATATATTTCTAGCGGGAGGTATAAAATTAATATTTAGGTTTCGTAAAGCTAACGAAAACACGAAACTGTTATATGATAACTTTTGTATTTTTGTCCGTCTGTCCATCTGAAATATATAAATTCGAAAATCGTCTACGTTTGTGTTTTGTAAATACTTACCAAACTCAAACAAACTATTGTTAGCAATATCATAGAATATGAAGAAGTTGTAATCACACATAAAATTTTGTAAATTAACAATAATTTTAAGGTTTTCATTTATCATCACAACTTTCCCAAAACTTTAACGCTGAGGACAGGATTCGAACCTGCGCGGGTATGACCCATTGGATTTCAAGTCCAACTCCTTAACCACTCGGACACCTCAGCTCTGACAAACGTTGTGGAAATTAAATAATATTTACACTACTTTAAATAATTCATTACTTTTTTATAAATTATTATTATTTGAAATAATAAAAATAATTTATTTCTTTAATATAATACGGAATACACCGGTTCTTAGATTTTAGATTACCGTCCATAAGACTTTCAAAATTGGAATGTTGTGGGCATGAATTGACCCCGCAAACACCCTTTTTATATTGAGCAATCGCTTAATCTTACGTACCTATTTTAATACGACCTGAAAGAAAGCAGATAAAATTACCATGATATTATCAAAAACGAGTATTTTGAAGTGTTTACTGGTGATTTTCAACGCGTACAGTCAACGTTATTGTTTGAACAGCTTTTTTTAACCACTCTTATTTGTGTTCCTAAACTAGTTACTTCTTAGAATATACATTTTACAGAGCTTAGGTATCCGAGTGGGTAAGGAGTTGGACTCGAAATCCAATAGGGCAACCCCGCGCAGGTTCGAATCTTGTCCTCGGCCTTAAATATTTTGGGCAATTGTGAAAATGATTGAGAAGTTTTAAATTCTTGTTAAATTACGAAATTAAAAAGCATTAGTTCTTTATATTCTTATCACCATAGGGTATTTTCCTCTCTCTTTATGATCGGTTGTAGATATATTTCTAAAAAAAAATCAAAGCACAAGGACGTGTACCTAATAGCTATTACACGTTTACTTAGCGATAAAAAATAATATGTAAGAGCCAATTGTCATTAACATGCTAAGATACTATAATCTAGTGCGCAAGAAAAAATCTGAAGATCTTATCGTTATCGCTACATACGTATGAAACTCAAAGAGACTATTTCTTATAGTCTCAAATTGGTGTTAATTCTTGAATAAGTTTGTGAAATATAAGCGATATCTTATTGGACTCGTAATGACGTTTAAAATAGTTTATTGAAATTGTTTTACAGCACACGGAAAATTGCCAAAGTATTAATAAAATTAGATAAAAAAAAAAGGTAGGTTAACCTTTGTAAAGAAAGAAATAAAAGAATTCAGAGCATTTTTGGAAAATAAATCTTTTTTTCTGACAGTACTTAATTTTTTCCAGTTTTAAGAATTCACCATAGTGTATTCAATTTTTAAATTGATATGTATTGATATTAAAGATTAATCACTTTACGTGGTTCAATCTGAAATTCCTTAGTTAGTAAAAAACTAGCAAGTTATTATATTTTTACTATTATTATTTTTCAAAACCATCCGTGGTCCCATTTTTCAAATAAAAATATGCTTTATATTTTATAATTTGAAAATGGTCAATTCTGAAAATTTTAAGTGTCACCTACTTAGAAGCGCCGCTTGCTAGTCGTACAAAGCACTATTTTCAACGTTAAATTAAGATTAAAAATAAGAGACATAAAGTTTTAAAAGTTTGGACTTTTTATCGGAAATTCGCTTTTTCTAAGAATTTTTTTTATAAATTTCTTAATCATTAATAGTTATTGTAATATTAGCGAAAACCTAAATTACATCATTCTTCATCTTAATTTGATAAAAAGCATTTGCAATTTCATTGTGTGCTGTTAAACTATTTTGACATATTTTTCGACACGTTAATTTGAATTCAATGAACTATCGCTTTAGGAGTTTTCCCAAGAATTAACTTGGAGTTGTATAATATTTGAAAATAATGTTAACATAAATTAAAGAAAAAGTGAGAATTAAACAGTTTTTCACATACTTTCATATCACTTATTAGACTTGTGAAAATCGATGAGTAAATAGTTTGATTTATTTGAAAATTGATCAAAGTCATGTGGGTGTGGGTCATCGAATTTAAAGGATACATCGTTCATTTACAAGTCACAAGAGACTTGTAAACTTGGCTAGTTCTGTAGGCATGAAGGAGAAGTTTCTCTTTTGAACGAACCACATCGCCTTTAAGACAGTAGAATAATGCCAGAGCGCATTCCAAAAGACCACGAAAGGGAGACCATGGTGATGGTGGTTCATCGATAAAAGTGGGACACAACCCGGCTAGTCGTCTCCAAATATTCTCATAAATATCCACAAAAAAAAAGTTTGTTTGTGCACGTCGTCTAGGAAGGGATTATGACAATGACTTTTATCACTTTCAAGTCCAAAATTAAAATGTAAAAGAACAATATTTTTTCATGTGGAATATGTGTATGGGAATATTCTATTTGGTTGCATAACGTAGCTATTGGCATTTTCCGGGTATAATAAAAAAGGCCTTTATACATAAGTGACCAGCTTATGGGAACTGCCTTTGTATACAGCAGATCAAACAATGTTTAATTCGTTTCATCATGTAATAAAATCACTGTCCAACAGTTTTGTCTTATTGAGAAAATTAGACTAAAAAACGTATATTAAAACTTGGAGAGAATAATAAGAAAAATAAACAATATTAGGAAATACCAAGTAATCATAAAATAAAGTTTGAAAATCATGTTCAATATAAAATCAATTTTATTAATAATGTAACTAATTGTTTTTAACCTTAATTAAGAGTAAATCAATTGTCGTATGATAACAATTTTGTAACATTGGATAGTATTTGGATAGTATTTAAATGGCATGACTCGTTCAAGTGCGATTTGGACATCACATCACGAACTAGCCAATCATATTTATACACTATACACAAAATATGTAAGTACAAGGACACTTGTACTCCCGCTGTATTAGGCCAACAACATTGTGGATAGTTTCGTTACACGAATATAAATCTAGTTTTCATTGCCTTTATTTGACATCCCAAAGATTTATGGGGTGCAAAATGCGGGTTCTGGCCCACCGGAATAAATTATTACCGCTAACACGTGACTCGAGGGCCTCGCTTAAACTAGATCGGTTCCAACGCCCCGCCAATAAATGGATTCGGTTTGGGAGTTATTACTATGTATTTGTACGCATCGGCGGTCGTTAGATAAGAGGGAACCGATTAGATGCACTTTTGGTATAGGGAATACCGGCCGAGAGCGGATCAGATCTAGGCGTTTACGGTTCCGTACATTAGGTATAATATTTGAAAATGAGCTGTGCCGGGTCAATAGTAGTTGAAATGGTCAAAGTGTATAAAAAAAATATTTTTTATTTTCGAAAATTATGTATTTTGGGTAATTTGTTAATAATTATCCAATCTGTTGTGTAAATTATTCCTGGTTATTTATTTTTATAAGGCAAACAAGTACCATTTCAACATTATTAGATCGCATAGCAAATAAAAAGAAATGGTATTTTTTGCACATTTTCGGATAAGACAAGATCTAATTGGTCGAAAAATATAGAATATTTGAATCACAGTCTTCGAAATGATCCTTTACATAAAAATAAAAAGATCATAAACATGTAATAATTTAGAAAAAAAAAAACGAAAAATTTATAATTATGAATAGGTATTTTTTTGACTTTCATAACTGTGTTAAATTACAAGTCGATATAAATGGAAGTTACTGTCAAAACAAGCTATGATGTATCAAGAGGCAAACAGACAGACTAATACCAAGTCTCGCTTTAACAAGGTATCCGTTTTATCGTTATAAGCATGGAACACGTCATATCTATCGTCCTATCATTATAAGTATGAAACACGCGCTATCCACGTCGGCGTCTTCTACCTTCATGAGCAGATTGGCGCACGTATATAATAAGTAATGTTAAATAGGAAAATATATTATTATTACATCATATAAACAATTATTGTTATATTACATCAAACAATAAGAATTTGCACTGATTTAAAATAAATTTTAATTTAATTTATTCAACTAGTCAATATAAATTTTTCATGTAATGCAATTTTATTGATCTTTTCTATTCATACTTTTTTCAAAATATGTACACTTTATTTCTGATCATCATACTTTCATATTGTAAGGTAATAATTTAATATATTTTTAAGATATTCTTTATACATTTATTGATTTCAAAATATTATATTGGTCGATGAATTATATAAGCCATCTAGACTTCATGATTAAGAACGATAACTAAAATCGGTTAAAAAACAACTAGTTGTGAGCTAACAAGAATTCTTTGCTTCACTTTTCTTACAAAACGGAGTTTAATACCAGTCACGTCATGAGTTAATAGTACCCTCTGTGTCTAATTAGCAATTTGAAACAATCATTACACGTTTATTTTTATAGTATTATATGACCAAATTAAATAATGTATTGTATGAGGTGTTAATTCGCGGAAATCCATAGTAGACGCTTGCCTGCAACATGCATTAACATGCAGCATGCAACCCACCGCTGACCCTCGAATCTGCCTCTCCACTACGAATCTCTATCCAAATGATTGAATATTGATTCCAGAGGATTGACAGATATCGAACACCTAAGCAAGTGTTATTTATTATTATAATTATCTAATTCCGCCAACTATTAAATTGTTTAGTTCTACGTACGTTTCATGCCAACAAGGCACATCTTCAGGAAATTGCCGACAGTCACATCTACCAGGGTGCAAGGAGCGTTAAAACAACCAACACAACCTCGTTAGACAGGCCGCTGTCATGCAATGGTCAAAGAGCGACGAAAACATTATTAAGACAGCCACAGATCACCACCGATAGACATGCTTGTCAAATGTCACAGACTAACCATCAACATTACCCAAGTAGTTACAGGCAAGCGTCCAATAATGGCGATTTATAAACGTCAATTTGGTCGTTGAGCATATTATTATTATCTTTATGTTTTAAAATTTCGAAGGATTCCAAAACATTCAAACGTAACCCCTTCTCACACACATGCAAGACATCGAATTTGTGATCATTATTAAGCTTATGACCGGTTGCTAATAGATGTTTAGCAAAATGGGATCTGTCTGATTTATTATTTTTAAAGGCCGAAATATGTTCTTTATATCTTTTTTTCAAAGCAACGTCCGGTTTGTCCTATATATAAAATTAAATAAGTTCAATCCATTCACTACATTACTCAAATCAAAAAAGCTTTAAATATCTCATTGTATAAATTTCAAAGGTATTAAGTAAACCGAAAACTACTCTTCCCTCCCCGGACGTTCTTGTACTATTTAAAGCCAATTTAACAGAGTTTTCTCTCCCTAAAACAGCCGCTGCCACTCTTTACCGTTCCTCGCTCTAAGTCCCCGGGCGCGTTTTGGCGCGTAGTGCAGGCGTATTTGCATGAACTCGGCCGTGTTTCGGGTAATTGTTTCAAACTAAGGGGATGTAATTACGGCACTTGCACTAAGGAGACATGATGTAAATTCGATTTAATTATGCAGATAGTTTCATGACCCTATTGGCGACCCTGGGGAGCTGCTCGCACTCAGCATCTACGGGATTAATACTATTATTGTCAACAAGCAAGCGGAGTAGTTGTAGTTGAGTGGACAGTGGGTTTCTTTTGAAATTACAAGCTATAGTTCAGACACAAAGATTTCATAAAATTTTACAGTCTCCGGTTAAAACTAGCGTAAAAATTTGAATTGTACTTATTAACCATCATTAACTTAAAATGGTTTCGGATTTA